ATATAGAGACCAGGATTACAGAGTATCTTATTTAGTCACATTGGTAGAAATACATACCTTTTCACATTCTGTTCCTGCTCTGTTCAGGTTTTCTAATTCTTCTCCTAGACATGCTAATGTCACAAGACAAAGCAAATTTTGTAATTGCCATGATATCTTAGCCAAAATAAGAAAGGAACAACTTTTAACCACATAGAAATAATTTACTATGGTTCTCTGAATTTGAAACAATAAAGATTAAGAAAGAAAACATAATTTACCATATGGCTTCTAGGTATTGTGACTGAATATATTAAAGACAGAAAAATAAATCAAAAGAGAAAAATCTCTTGTTCACAGACATTTAAGCACCTCAATTATGAAAAGGCTATCAATTCCCTGTATCTAACAATGATGCAAAAATATAATATAAAGTACCATCTACCAATGGTTTAAAAACTACACTGTTAAGGAAATGAGAGTTATGGTTTAAGACTTTTTGTTTCTCCCAATTTCTTAATCAGTGGGACATGCAGACCCCAGGATTTGTAACTGGAGAGTCTCCTGTTGCCACAGATGTGATTGCTCCCTTTTCATACCACAATATAAGGCTCTGACACTTGCTTTGGATAAAGGAATCTCCTGCCATTTAGCACACCTGTGGGCAAACAGATCCTTTAGAGAGGACAACACAAAATAAATCAGGTACCACTAATGTAAACAGCTGTTAGGTAATAATCATATAAGGACCCTGATACCCAAGTACCTAATGCAGGTAAGAGTGGGAACTGAAAAGTCCTCCAATACATCCACATCCACTCAAGAACATCAGCATGATTGAGAAGAGAGTAATATTACCAGACAGGTACTATTACTATGTTAAAGTTCATCTATGTTAAGATGAAAATCTGGCTACAGTTACATATTTCAGATGGAGAATCAGAGATACTCATGTTAACTGCAAATAACTACGAAGTATACTGAATGGTACTATTTAATATCATCCTAAAGTCTAGGATGATACTATACATCTAGGTTATACTATAAGAGAACTATAGCGTGACCATAAATGACTGCTGGTTCATTTAACTATCATTGTCTACCTTCTTAAGAATAATCTAGCATTCTTCATGCAGAGCCCTCTGAATGTGATAACACATGTTGGACATAATGATGAATGTAACAAGATGTCCACTGTATCAGACTAGAAACCAAAAATGAGAGGCTAGCAGTTTAAAGTAACACAAAATGAAAAATTATATATTTTTATGTTCTTGGACATTATTTAACGACATTCATGAAAACAGCAAGATAAATCGTTTATTAGTATGTGCATAAAATACATGGACACACAAAAGACTGAAAAGAGATAAAAGAACATGCTAATAGTAATTATCTCTGGAGAGTAAAATTACAGCTGATTCTGTTTTCCTCCTAGGGTCTTTTAAATTTTCTGTGGTAAGTAGCAATTTCTTTCACTTAAAAGGAATGGCATGAATCTCTTTTGGGGACTGAATTTCAACAAAAATGAACATCAAATGGTAACTTGTTTAATTAATAAAAAGTATACCCTTACATTTTGGAACCTCCCTGGTGGCCTAGGGGTTAAGTCTCAGCGCTATCACCGCTGTGGCCTGAGTTCCAACCCCAGCCAGGGAGCTGACCCACATGTGGTGCAGCAGACCTCTCCTGTCTGGCCACTGCTCCCCTCAGCAGTGAATTGCAGCAGATTCACTTGTTCTGCTCCCCACTGTCTCTGATGAATCTTCTCATCCTATCCCACCTCCCACCCCCACACCTCTGACCTACACCCCAGTTCTTCTACGCATAAATAAATAAATCATTTTTTAAAAAGTATAACCTTACATTTTAAGTGACAGTTTATTGTCTATTACTGAGCAGCCAGGAATAATTTTTATAATTATAGGACAAGAAGAACTTTTCCCTGTTCCTCCCACTAAGTAGAACTGTTATATACAAAGCAAACCTAAGGCTCTAAAGTGTGGAGGGAGAAGGCAGAATGGCTAAGGACCCCAGACTTGAGTATCAACACAGCAGTGAGCTCACTTGGTTTTATTTTCAACTGACATATCCTGGATTGGGTGCTGGGTAATCCAGGAGCCTAGAAACATCAACAGACAAACACAAATACACAACAAAAATCTGCTTTTAAAAGCCAAAGGACCAAGGGAGAAGCAGCCCAGGATGACAAAAATCTTTTAGACAGTAGTTATTTTTCTCCAGCCAAAAATCATGGAGACCACAGCCCAACCCTGACCTACAAAGGGCAAATGGGTAGCTAAAGTGCCACCCTTGCATGACATCCCAACACTATTTCCTGCCAGGGTAACATGAGAAAAGACCAGGTAGAGAGGTGAGATCTTCGTCCCAACCTGGTGATAAATGACAAGACCAGACTCCTCCCCCAACCACACTGTCACTAGAAATCACACAGGGTACCGGACTTCCACCCACATACAACAGCAAGAAGGTTCCCCCAACTCTGCCTGCCAGGATGGCATCAGAGAAGGAGTGGGAAGCCTGCAGTTCTACCTCCTTCCAATAGGAATGAGGCACCCACCCCTTCAGCCCAGTGTCAGTAGAAGCAGACCAGCCAATGGGACATCAGAGGCTTAGTGGAAAGCCTGGACTCACTCCCCATCCAGAAGTAAGGAGGGATTCTCCACACCCATGGAGTATCAAAAGAAATCCACTGGGGAACCAACATTTCCACCCCAACCTGAGAGGGAAGATAGCACCCTCCTTCCTCTGTCAGAGTCTTAAACATAAACCCAAAATGTTTAGTAGGTATAGCATTTGAGTTTTGCAAGATGAAAATGAAAAAGTTCTAAGATGTTTCAAGCAATGTAAATATATGTAACACTACAACTGTATACTTAGAAAATGGTTAAGATAGGAAGTTTTAAATTATGTGTTTTTTACAGTAAAAAATTCAAGCATGAATACTAATCAAAATCAAAAGATTATCCTTTAGGGCCTCCCCAGTGGTGCAGCAGTTGAACGCTGGGCTGCAAAGCTGCCTGCAGCCTCTGCAGCACTGGTTCGATCCCCAGCAGCCGGCAAGGGTCCCACATGGCGCGCAGACCTCTCCTGCTGCGCCCGCTGCTCCCCTCAGCAGTGTACTTCATCATCCTGCCTGTTCTGCTCCCTGCTCTGGCTCTGGTGAATTCTCCTACCCTCCCGCACTCTGACTGTACCCCAGTGCTTGTATAAATAAATAAATAAATCTTTAAAAAAAAAGATTATCCTTTAATACATTTAATTGTTCAATCATGGGTTTCTTTAAGATACATGAAGTACTACACATTATAAAACTATTACAAAATCATATTAATTAATAGATCTTATTTTACTACTTTGTGAAATGTCATGTTTGAAATTCAATCAATCCATGCCTGGTGCTGAGGGTGAAAAAAAAATTAACTGCTAAAACCCTCAGCCTCTCTTATCACAACTTACACAGTAAAACTACTCAAGTGGCACTTTTTCCAATATGATGATACCAGTTTTAATGACATGGAAAATTTAACAGCAAAAATTAGATACACAGACTGGTGGAAAAAATACTTTTTCCTAAGGCTAATCAGAGTAAAGGCAAGACGTGGTTTACTATTTTGACTTTCACAGATTAAGTTTACTGTGCAAACCTGAGAATTGTTCGGTTAATTAATGATATTTTAACTTTTTATTATAAAAACTAAAATTTAACACATTGCAGTCAATGTAGAACCAAAGTAAATGCTACATTTAAGTGATTCCGCAGAACCTTTTCAACTGTGTTACCTTCACCATGTTCTACAAAGCTCTCATTTGAAAGGCATTCCCCTCAAAAAAAGGATAATTGGTCCAATATGTTTTTTTTTAATATTTATTTATTTATTTATACAAGCACTGGGTACAGTCAGAAGCGCGGGAGGGTGAGAGAATTCACCAGAGCCAGAGCGGGGAACAGAACAGGCAGAAGGACCAAAGTACACTGCTGAGGGGAGCAGCAGGCGGCAGGAGAGGTCTGCGCACCATGTGGGACCTCGCTCGGCAGCTGGGGATGGAACCGGCGCTGCAGAGGCCGTGGGCAGCTTCGCAACCCAGCGCTCAACTGCTGCGCCACCGGGTAGGCCCGGTCCAATATGTTTTTTACATGCTGGACACAAATGAAGATTCACAACACTCATGAGTATAAGAAAAACTGAAATAGTCTCTAACTTTCCCTCACTACTTTCCAAACACACATATCCATAGTCCATTTTTTTAACATGTTAATACCTCACTGAACACTAACATCCTAGGACAGAGCTTCTCAAACCATAAAGTTCATACAAATTCTATACAACTCTCATAAAAAGGCAGATTCTGAGGCAGCAGGTCTGGGGTCAGGCCTGAGACTCTGCATTTCCAACACTAGCCCAGGTGATGCCAATGCTCTGGTCAAAGATGATTCTTGAGCAGGAGCCAAAGAAGACAGAGAAAGGTTGCTATAGAAACCTTTTACAACTGTACAGTTTTGTGAGTTCAATTTAATATTTATAAAATCTACTGCATGGAAAACAAGGGAATCTGAAAGGATTAAAAGGAGACTAAGTTAAAAATAGGATTAAGGGGGCTCAGCTCTAAAGGTGATTTGTATTAGTAGAGTATTCAGGCAAGAAAAAGAATAAAAATGAGTGAGAGGAAACTGAGAATATAAAGGACCTCTCCCGTAGGCAGTCAACGGATACAGCAAAAGAAAAGGAGGCATAAGAAATACTAGCAAATAAGAACTCATAAATTATCTAATTCCATTACTAAAACAGGACAGAGAGAGTCTTTCGCTGGATTTCTATTTTAATCACTAAAACACACTTATAACATCTTCAGATGAATGGCATGTAGTACAGCAGTTTGGCAAAGTTCAAAAAGGCCCCTTGAGATGAAAAACAAATTCTGCAGAGATATTACTTGTTAAACCACTAAAATTGCAGGAGAAAACGGCTTTCAAAATAGAGTAACAGGTGAAGTCTAACCTTTTCTTGGATTAGTCTCTGGAGATGAATCCCACAGGACAGCATGGCACTGAATAAGGTCAACATGTACTGCTGAACTTTGCAGATGGCAGAGGCCAGGGAGTTTATCACCGAGTTCAGTCCCACCTTCTCAATGACATTCTGGAAGGCGGTAGGAGAATGGCGAGTGATTCTACACAAGGCCTGCAGAGACAGAAGAGCCACCCATTAGACAGCACCATGTGCATCAGCCAGGCCCAGAGATAACACGTGCTCTGTATACAAAGGCTGGGAAGGTCCTTACCTTGATACTTCATTACTTATTTTGGCATAAGATAGCTGGAAAATTTCACATTTAAAAATAAAACAATGACTTAGCTGCCAATAAAAACCAAATTTGTTTTAAAATACTAGAGACTCTTGACAATTATCGTATCAATTATGATGAGTTAACTAAAGTGATAGACTTATTCATACATCTACATAGCAACTTCCCTTTAAGTAATAAAAAAAGATCAGTAAGCATCTTCTTTGTGAAGACACTGTAGGAAATTGTTTCAACATCACTTATTATCAGGGAAATGCAAATCAAAACTACAATGAGATACCACCTCACACCTATAAGAATGGCCCAAGTCAAAGACAACAAATGGTGAGAATGTGGAGAAAAAGGAGACCTTGTACACTGTGAGTGGGAAGGTAGACCGATCCAGGCCCTGTGGAAAACAGGATGGTGGTTTCTCAGAATATTAAATATAGAGCTACCATATGAATCAGCAATTCTACTCCTAGGTATCTACCCCAAGAATACAAAATCACTAATTCAAAGGCACACATGCACACCTATGCTCATTGCAGCACTATTTACAATAATCAAGCTATGGAAAATTGTAAATGCTCATCAACAGAGTAGTGGATTAAGAAGACGTCATATATACACATGATGGAATACTACTCAGCTCTAAAAAAAAAAATTGAACTCTCGCCATTTGATACAACATGAATGGAAGTGGAGGGTATCATGCTAAGTGAAGTAAATCAGAAAGAAAGAGACACATGTCAGATGGCCAACAGGCACATAAAGACCAGATGGCTTCACTCACATATGGAACATAGAGAAACAAAACCAAAAAAAAAAAAAAAAAAAAAAAACCACAAAGGAACTGACGAATAACTAAACCAAATAAACCCTAGAAATACTGCAGAACTGAGGCTACTAGAAAGGGAGGGAGACTGTACAAAGAGCACCCAGACCTTGATTTCTAAATACCAAGTTCTTCTTGGAGAAATAATTGATTCCAGGGTTGACATAGAGAAAGTGAACAAATAGTATAGCATTTTCCATGATGTCAGAAAGTAAAGTATAGAAATAATGACAGAAACAGGTCCAAAGGACGTAGAAGCCAGCTTGAAGGGATCCTGCTGGCAAAATCTAGGACTATTAGAGCATCCAAACAGTAAGTGGTAGTAGTATCACATTCAATTCATTGAATGAAATAGGCAAATTTGGATAATTCCACGGATGTCTTCATTTTCTTTTGTGAAGTATGGAGGAAAGTCATTTACTGAGGATGCAAAAGAAAATGGGAGGTGAGGGGCTTAACCAAAGAAGACAGGTATACGAAAGTGCACACAGGCCAAGTGCAAGCATGAGCAGACTGAGAAATACATCAGGTTGCCACAGAATGTTGAGAGTCCAAATGAGATTGGTAATGAAAATGAGTATTTAAATAAATCTTATGAGAAGGGGTTGTATTTGTTCAACAGAGTATTAAATTGATACAACCATGTTAACACATCTTCATACATAATTATCCTCTAGACTAAGTTATTATAACCATGTGAGCAAAGTAGTAGACAACCAATCAAAATACAAAAACTACAAAACCACAGATGCTTGAACATTAAAATAAATTCATTTGAACCACATGATAAGCCCATTCACATTAAAAGCTCACTAAGGGAGCAAACAGCAAAAGAAAGGGAACACTAAAAATATACCAACCAAATCTTGTTCCCAGTCCAGTTTTCCATGTTAATGAGCTACAAGGCCCTACTGGAATTACCTCACCGTCCCAAGGTTTTCCAGTCCCACTTTTGAAAACTCTGCTTTAGCATAAAATCAAGTTGTTGTCACCAACTATTGCACTGAGATTTCTGTTTCCAACCTATCCAATAAGTTTATTGTATTTTTGGCACAGTTCTTAAAACTTGGTGTTTAAATATACCCAAGTATATCCACAAAAAGTGCTCCATCTTACCGATATTGCTGTTATCCTAAGAGAATCAACAGTGGAATGTTTGAATAGGTACCATAAAACAGGTCCAATTTCTCCTGTAATAAAGCCCTGGGCCTGTGGAGAAGAGGTTGTGCAGACGTTTTCAATAATTTTTGCTGCCATGTGATTCACCACACGTTCTTCCTAGGAAACAAGAACAAGCACAGAACAAGAAGATTAAAATGTTATAGTTTAGTATGAGAAAATATCATTTCTTCAAAACTATTGCAAAGAAACACCTGATATCAAGAGGGTATCATATACCCCTCCAAGTGTTAGGAATTTGCAGACTGAATGGTTAATGAACTTGACACGATAGCAATTAGCAATAAAAATCATCTAAAATAAGGAGGTGTGAACATTATTTAAGGTTATGATGAAACTATTAATTCAATTGGTGGCCACTAAACCTAGCATGATTACTGACATAATTTAATAAAAACAAACAGGCCAAAGTAATCTGGAAAACATACAATATAAGCTTAACATAAAAGCAAATTTTGAAATCATAATAAGTTACAGACAGAACTATCCTCAGAAACTGCACAAGGCTGGGAATAATTAGGATAGCAATTCATTCAAAGACCACCTAAATATGGGGTATCTAAGAAAGACTGCCTCAGTGGTATGTCCAAATCATCCCAGACTACAGGCTGTTCTGGATTATTCTAACTATGCTTAGAACCCTCAAAAAGAATACAAGTGTTCCCAGGAAACTCAAAGTACCTTCAATTTAACCTGTACTTCCAAGAAAAAGCACAAAACTGCTGAAAAGACAAAAGGCTCCAGCATCCAATAATATAATATTCACAATGTCTGCCATGCAAACTATCAAGAAAATATGACCTATAAGAAAATCTCAATCAATAGAAATAACATAGATAACAGAATTAGAAGCAAAAATATATTGAAATAGCTACCACAAATCTATATACTAAGGAAAAAAAAAACAGGATAAAGGAAATCAAAAAGAGAAGATTCAAAAAAATTCAAAAGTCTAAAGATAAATAATACAATGTCTAAAATGAGTAATTCTTTGGATTAAATTAACAGGATAGACAGCAAGCTAAATGACAAATTAATGTAAAGACACAATAATTAACAATTTTAAAAAAACACCTAAAATAAACACAGAAAAAAGATTGAAAGAAAAGGGACAGGGTATTTGTGAGACAGTTTCAAACACCCACAGGCAATGAAAATCCCCGGGGAGGAGGAAAGGGTGAGGGCTATTATATAAGAAATATTTGAAGAATTATTTAAGAAATATTTACTGAAATTTTTCAAATTCATGAAAACTAATAACTCTAGATTTAGGAAACACAATGAACCCCAAGCAGAAGAAACAAAGCAAACTCACACCAAGGGACAACATAATCAAAGCACTAAAATCCAATGATAAGGAAAAATCTTAAAAGGAGGTAAAGACAAATTATGAAAAGCACAGCAAAAGGTTGACAAAGACTTCACAGCAGAAATAATACAAAGATGACGACAGTGGACAGTATCTTTAACAGAAATTACTTTTCAACCTAAAAATCTACAACCAGTCTGAAAAAAAAATACTTTTCAAAAACAAAAAGGTAGGGGAAATAGAGATGGTATTTCAGCTATAAGATGAATAGGTCAGAGGATGTAATGTAAAATATTATGATCACAGTTGATCGTGCTGCATTCTATAATTGAAATTTGTTAAGAGAGTAGAACTTAAATGTTCTTAAATAAATCAGGGAAATAGAGGCAGAAAGGGAATACTGGATATTTCTGGTGTGAGATTCTTATATAATATATATGAACTTCTATATTATTATAAAAAGTTCTGGGTTAAGGTTCTTATGTACTATATGTGAATCTGTATAACATTACTTGAAGGTTAATTGTGATAAGTTAGAGATAGTTTTCTTTTAAGTACAGTAAGCCAATAATAGAGATAAAAATGGAATTTTTAAAGTCAATTAACTGGGAGAAGATATTCGTATATCATACATCCAACATGGGATTAATAATCAAAATATCAATATGTAAAGAAGTCATAAATTCAACAACAAAAAAAAATCAACCCAATCAAAACATGGACAGAAGATCTGAAAAGGCACTTCTCCAAAAACAGTATCAGATAGCCAATCGGTACATAAAAAAATCTTCACCATCATTTATTACTAGAAAAATACAAATCAAAACCACAATGAGATATCACTTCACATCTGTGAGAGCAGTCTATATAAAAAAGATTAGAAGTAAGTGTTGGCAAGGATACAGAGAAAATGGAATTCTCGAAAACTGTTGGTGGAAATGTATAGTGACGCAACATCTATGGAGATTCCTTTAAAAAATAAAACTAGAAATACCGTATCATCCAGCAATTCTACTCCTAGGTATTTACCTGAAGAAAATGAAAACATAATTTGCAAAGATTTTATAACAGTACTATTCACAATAGCCAAGATACACAACAACCTAAATATCCATTGACAGATGACTGGATAAAGAACTTGTGGTGTATATATACTCAAAGGAATACTCTTGACTGTTTAAAAAAAGAAAAAGGTGAAATCTTGCCTTTTGTGACATAGATGGACCTTGAGGTGATCATGCTAAGTGAAGTAAGTCAGAAAGTGAAAGAAAAGTAGTAGATGGTTTCATTCATGTGAAATACAAGTAAAACAAATGAACTAATAACAAAGATAACTCTCAGGCTCTGAGAAAAATATGTTGATTACCAGAGGGGAAGGCAAAGGGACTGGAGTACAAGGGTAGAGGGTATTAATTTGATAGTCTGAATGCCACAGGAACTTTGTGGTAGGTGCAGTGTAGTAAAAACATATTAAGCTATGATGCTATACTCCCAAAATTTATACAGTATTATAGACCAATGTCAAATCAAAAAAAAAAAAAAAATACTATTCCAAAAGTCAATTAATCCAAAATAAGCCAGGAAATGCAAAAAAGGAAAGACACAGAATAAAAGTTACAAGATGGCAGATTTAAACCCAACCATCTCAATAATCACACTAAATATAAAGACCTAAACACACTAATTAAAAGGCAGAGATCCTCATATTAGATTTTTTAAAGCAAGACCCATGTTTTGACTATCTACAAAAAAAATTCCCTTATATATATAAATTCACATGTAAGTCAAAAATCTCAATATGTTATCTTTATTCCTATTATTAATATCATATAGTGTGGATTGTAAGATTGCTAGGAATTAAATTTAAAAGATAATTGAACTTCAAACTTTGACATACCTATCAGAATGAGTATTGGGGAGGCATCCCTGTGGCGCAAGGGGTGAAGATAAGCACTATGAAGCTATCTGCAGCCTCTGCAGCATGAGTTTGATCCCTAGCCGGCCAGGGAGCTACCCACATGGCACAGCAGGCCTCTCCTGTCTCGCCCACTGCTCCTCTCAGCAGCGTATTTCAGTCAGCCTGCCTGTTTTGTCCCCCACTCTGTCTCTGGTGAATCCTCTCACCACCCCACACCTGTGACCTGTACCCCAGTTCTTGTATGCATAAATCTTTTTTAAAAAAAAGAATGTGTATTGGGGAGAATGCTACCTCCCCACCCCTGATGGTTCTTTTGAGTGCTAGAATAAATTCATGTAACACATTTAACCTCTCTTTGTTCCTTTATTCACTCTACCCAAGGGGAAACAGTATGCTTCACATAGCTGGCAAATATGAAAAGAATCAACTAGGTATGAACTCAATGCCTCTCTCTTTTTCCTTGAGCCCAGGTTCACCCACTTGGATAGGCGCTCCATCTGCAGAGTGCTTCTCAGATTCCCTATGTGTAGTCCCATGTAAGAAAGTTTATTTGTCTACAGATAAAAGATATGTCCTCCACCCTAGCTCTCAGTAGATATACATGTAATATTTTTATCCCAAATGCCTTGCTCTGTGTATTATTTCCCATTAGGTTCTAAAACTTCTCCCCTAAGTAGGGAGAGGTACTATTTATGGGGACCTTCTCAAATGCCTTAACATGTGCTTTATATCACAACTGTCAGTTAATTCCCAGAAGACTCATTCCTAGTAGTAGAAAACCACAACTATGTTAGCACCTAGATTGGAAAGGGGCCATGTGTCATCTCAGTACTCTATAAACTCAGTGAGGCTGTCAGGCCAATTCAACTTGCTACTACCTGAAATGAGCTATCCTAGTCCCTCTGGGATCCCCTGTGAAACACCACACAAGCAATAAGATTGTTGCTATTTTCTGCTTAATTAACTCATTGGTAGGGATAACTTGACTGAACTAATATCTTTCATTTAAATCAAAGACCTATTTCATCATATCTCAAGGAGAAAAGCTCTAGAAAAAAAAAAAAAAGCTCAGGAAAAAAAGTAGCTAGACTTATTAATGAAAAGCTAGCCTACGCTTTAGCTTTGTTGAGTAGATCTAATCTACAATAGGAAGATTGTTGTTTAAAAAAAGAAAGTTTCATAGCCAATGTAATTTAATATATGTGAGCACTTTACTAAAGGGTACCAAAATGAACATCTAAAATAGTGATGATTATTTTCATATAAGCAGATTCAGTAAAAATATGATCTTTCTTCTAAAGGTTTCAAGATACCTGGAGTTCATTTTGCATAGTTTATTGCTTTAGTAGTTCATGGAAGGCATGATTTCCATTTCTTATAATTAGTGGGCTACTTGGACAACTATATTTCTCAAAAAGTCAGTATGAATGCTGGATATAAAATAATAACAAACTTTCTTAAAAGCATCGATATACTGGGCCTCCCTGGTGGTGCAAGGGGTTTAGTTTCAGCACTATGAAGCTATCGGCAGCCACTGCAGCAAGAGTTCAATCCCTGGCCAGGAAACTAACCCATATGGCACAGCAGACCTCTCCTGTCTCACCCACTGCTCCCCTCAGCAGTGTATTTCAGTAGATCTGCCTGTTCTGCTCCCCACTCTATCTCTGGTGAATCCTCTCACCCCCTGCACCTCTGGCCTACACCCCAGTTCTTCTATGCATAAATATTTTTTCTAAAAAATCAATAAATTAACTCCAAATTCAAATTCTTTGGTCAGTGATTGTGTGGGCAAAACTCTAAGAAATACCCAGATGAGAGAAGTTGATATTTGTCCCAAGAGCATTTGCCCAAGATGAATAATAGAATGAGAGG